GGGGGGGGGGAAGGTTGGGGATAGGTTTGTGCACTTGCCTCACTTTGCCTCCCTCTTTAATCCCTCCTACACCTTTTAGCAATTTTCTGTATCTTTCCCCAAATACTACCCTTGTCCTCCTCTCCTCACCCAGAAATGAAAATGGGATCTTGTAACTGAATGCCTTGACTGTAAAGTTTTGATTTCTTTCAGTGTCACCAAACTATCAATTGTTGGAAGTATCCTCTTCATTGTGGTACAGAAGTACATGGTTGCCTTCACTACAGCAGAAGTTCTTCTGGGCATAACTTGTATGGGAGCATTTCTTCAGGTCCTCATGTATCTCAGTAACACAAGTGACCCTTTTACCTATTTAGAGAAAGCTGTGGCTGCTGTTCTTTTTAAAGAACCAGCTGAAAAGGCAGATACTTCAGATGCTAAGAAGAAAAAGGATTAGTCACTCTTAATTTTAACGAGGAAAAAGGACACACCTTACTCTTGATAATTGTGTCCTCGCCTAATGTGCAACAGGTTGGAATAAGGCAATCTGTTATGGAATGTCAGTCACAAAGACTTGCTGATTACTATTAACCAATCAGAAAATTGCGTTAATACTCACGAATATTCCGTAACGTTTTGTGTAAGCTCATTCCAAAAGACTTCTCTCCTTCCTTTGAAGAAGGAACACAAAGAAACCTTGGAATAAAGTTGGTGTGTCTTGTCATTGAGTGGTTTGGCGAATGTTGAAATAAATCATGAATTGGCTTAGTGTTACTATTATGTGCTCTCTGATTGGTCACCAGCCCAGCAAACAAGATCTACACATACAAAACGATTCCCGTAACGTTTATTTAATTTCATTAGCGACGAGATCATAATTTTCTTATTTAAGTTTTTTTTAACAGTTACATATAAACCCTAACATTATCAAAGAACATTTATATATTATTCCTTTTGAGACCCTCAAGATGACAATATACATTATCATATTTAATTATTTGTGACTAATAAACAGCTTTTTTGAGAAAGGTTGAAGGAAAAAAGCGTTAAAGTGCACGAGACACACCCGAGAGGTATTAATGGTAATTTTCACATTACGGTTTACTCATTCAACCTCATTAATTACCTAATAGCCATATTTCTATCCGAGATTATCGCGTGCACTTTTGTCCATTTTACCGAAAATCTTCCTCGAAACAGCTCTATATATACTTATATTTGACAGCCAGTTTTTTCACTTTCTTACTACAAGTGTTTGTATATTTGTGTAATCGTCTCAATACTTCTAGCTAGTCATTTTGAAACTTAAAGTTTAGTTACTTCACACTCTACTAGTCCGCTGTTTTTAGAGCGCTTTTCTTCACGTGAAGAACCCCAACAGATATAAACAGTTCTTCCCTTCACAAATTTGTAGCTTTTAAACGTAGATGATGTTTTCATAAAAAAAAGAGAGAGAAAAAAAATTGGAAATGAAATTGGGTAATAAAATTTAGGTAATTTAGTCTTTTATTCCAGTGCGATCACCTTCTGTACTTTGGTTCTTTGTCTCTTCTTTTGTGTGAATGTGTGAGTTTGCCTGGTTTTACCAAAAAGCCATTTCTCTAATTTCATTGATCAGTTTGTTCGTGTAGTTGTTGATAGATATTATATAATATGCAGACATAGAATAAACCAATATGCAATCAAGTTAATAACAATTGCAACCAGTTCAAATGCAAGCGATAAAAAAAAGGAGCGAGAAGAACTACTCCCATGCAGAACACACTCAAACCACCCATACCATTAATTGCGATAAACTATGCAATAAAACAACACCAGCCATGAGTCTCCTAAAGCTCAGTAGCAATAGAGCGTTCTAAGTATGAATCGGAAGATGGTAAGACTGACTCCTGTTGGGAGCATTCGAAGCTTTTTCTCCCCGAGTATGCCTGTGTCATTCACGGAATAACATCATCTTGCACTT